AAGGTTGTGGATGGGACTCAGGATTCCACCTAAGGTCCTATACTCTGTAAAGGCTTTGCACAAGGTCTATTTCACTGGGTAAGTTGTAGAACCCCTTTGAGGTATTCCAATCAGTTATAGGCTGAAGGCGGGCTTACAAGTTTTCTCTAATCATGTTTCCCAACATTCCTTTCTATCCCACCTGGGAGGTCAGTCTAGGATAGGAAAAATTATAATGTGAAAGAAGGTAAACACAGAGGAACAGAGATCCAGGTGGTGAGAAGGTCAGGATAAAATTATATTAAATGGAGGGAAAAGTTAATGGAATATAAGGTATACACAACAGTGGAGTTGGGTTGGGGGTGTTTAAAGGGAGGTGGAGGGAGGCGATGGTGGAGTACCAGGGTAGGGGCAGACACATCATAGTTCAGGTATTGGGGAGGGCAATACAAAAATGGGGAGGAGGTGGAAGAACAAGGTAGATAGGGAAATACTGAGACAGGTTTGCATGGACTAAATGGGACAGAGGTAAAGAGTGATAAGGAATCTTAGGCATAGTTTGAAGATGGGAAATAATACTAAGATGCTTGACTGTCTTATGAATATTTGTTTCCCTTGCCTACTCTTGTAAAATGGACACTTGAGTAGGATATAAAGGAATGTCAGGAAACCTGATTACAGGAAACTTGTAAGCCTGTCTTCAGCCTATAACTGATTGTTGTTGTTTTTAAGTGCCGTCGAGTCAATTCTGACCCTGTATAGGGTTTCCAAGGAGTAGCTGGTGAGCTTGAACTGCCGACCTTACAGTTCAAACAGCTTTGCAGTCTGTCACACTAACCCACAGCACCACACCAGGACTCCTTATAACTGATTGGAATATCTAAGATTGGAATACCTAAAAGGGGTTCTAGAACTTGCCCAGTGAAATAGCCCTCTTGCAGAGTCTTTGCAGATTATAGGATCTTAGGTGGAGTCCTAAATTTCATCCAGAACCTTGTGAGGTGGGATGTCACCACTAGAAAGGACAAGCAGACCAGCCTGGAACAGCCAGAGTGACAGAATATCCATCTTCAAAGAAAGATCATCAGGAAAAACCCCAAACAAAAATGTCAGTATGACTGGCTACTACAAGTATAAGCAAGCTGTTTGCAGGGAAGCCATCAAGGCAAGCAATGAGATTCCTTCAGGACAACCCCCTCTTCTTTGACTGAAAATCAAAGGGACAACATGAGCAGGCATATAAGCTTGCTGGTAACCACAGTGGTCTAGTGGTGAGTTGGGGGAAAGGCAGCAATGAAGAAATGGGCCGAGTTCAACCACATTCCATATATTCTCATTGACTTGGAGATGAGAGAGAGAAGAGGAAGGGCTGGTTGGTCCAAAGTCCAAAGTGTGGTGAGACCTGGGGACATCTGAGACCAGGGACAAGGACAAAGCAATAGAGGGCTAGAGCTGAGAGTAAAGCATCCAGCTGATATGAAGTGAGGGGAGACGCACAAGAATATCCAAACTTGCAGATAGTAATCATTTGACCTAGCCTG